ATTTCATCCGGTTTTTTTCCTTTTTCAATTCCTACGATTAGCTCACTTTATCTATATATTTATATTTTTATTTATCTTGATCAAATTTCCAATCATTAATAAAATATTTTCTTTTCATCCAATCAAGTTCAAACAAATTTTTTTAAACTTGTAGTGGATGACACTTGATGTTAATATAGTTTTTCAAATATTAATTAATTAAATGTAGTTAAATTAATTAACGGTTTTTGACGCCAACTTAGATTCGTCTCTATTGTTGTAACAATGTAACTGTTAAAACAAAGACAAAAATTGGCGTCGAAAGCCTGTTTTTCAGCCAAACAGCCAAACTGGGTGTGCATTGTCACAACCATGCAGTTAAATCATGCTCTTTTTTCAATTCCCACTATTACTCTTCACCCTCGCCCTATATACATATTTATTTACATGTATATATGTATATCTTATTCAAATTTTCAATTGTTAATAAAATACTTCGTATTCATCCATTCGAGAAGTAGGAATTGATTTTAAATTTTTTTTTCTACATTACTTGTTACATTTAATACTAAAATGTAGTAAGTAAAATCCTTTTCATGAATGTGCAACAAGAGAAAAATGAAAGATACTGTTGCTCGCAATATTCCAACATAACATTGCGTTCCTGCTTACAGTGCAAGCTCCTCCAACCATACTGTATCACGTAGTGTCTGGAGATGCAGGTTTAGCGGAGAATGGATCCATAGTAGTTTTTCCAGGGACTATAATTAACATTGATTGCCTGTTTCAAAGACAACTTGGAAGTCCCCAATGGGAGTGGACACCGACACAAAGGTTTTTATATTCGATCATTTTTAAACAATTTTCGTGTAATTAAACATTTTCTTCCTCGCACAATCCCGATAGATTACTAAACTGAATAAGTGAGCAGAAGAAAATCAAAATAATTTAAAATAAGAGAGTTACTTGAGACTTAGAAACTATAATGGCACTTTTAAGTCTTTGTTTATGCTTCAGAATTGTTATTAAAAAATATTTCCTTTTATTTTAATCGAATTTAGGAGTCAGGGGATTATTTTTTTATTCAATGTGTTTAATTTAGTTTTGGAATTATTATTTTAGTTGCAGATATATATTTTCAGATTACTAAAGAAACATTAATTAACCTGATTATTAAAAGAAAAAAAAAAACATTTTGCGCTTTCTAAAAAGGAATAACAAATATTACTACGTATTAATTTCGCACATATCAATTTAATATTAATATTATATAATATTAATTTAGATTTTCTTCCCTTTTCTAAAGACTTAAAGTGGACGCGGTAGCATAGTGGTTATGGTCACGAAGTTGAGAGGCTGGCGTGTCACGGGTTTGAGTCCTAGTACCACTGAAGACTTACCATGTAGGGGCTGAAGCCCGCTAAATCTGTCGAGGCTCAAAGTCCTCACGTTCTCGTGGTGTGGTAGTTTTGAAGAGAGGGTGCCAGGTCAGGTTTCGTCCTCGTCACTTGACCAAGATTCATAATTATGAGATCCATCACCAATAGCCTTCGTATTGCTTTATAGTACGACGTTAGTAAACTCTTAAAGACCTACATCATTTTATTCAATTCTTTTTTTTATTTTCATCCAGGCAGTATCCTAGTGCTTGGGCCATACCAGCAGAAGAAAAGAATTGGAAATTCCGTTTATCTATCTACTATGCCAAAGATTACGATTCGGGGACGTATACTTGCATAACTCCTCACGATATCAGCAATGAGGTGAACATTATCGTCAAAGGTAACACTATTCTATTACGACACTCTGCAGAGTCATTTTTCTCTGTAGATTTCCGATACCAGTGAGAAATCGAATTTGAAAGTGTAGTGTATTATTACTTTAATAGAAATAGATTTTAGTAATGAAAAGGTTTTATAAAAGTGAATAGTTATACAATACTCGTGTTTTCTAAAACTATAAACATAACGGATTTTGGTTTTTTTTTCAAAAATTTTCAGTATTACACACATACAGGGTCATGAGCTTGATTTAAGCACAGAGAAAAAAATACCAAGGTAATCCAGCAAGGTCCGTTTTGCATTTTCGCCGCAAAACATCTGTGATCGTTAGTTAAAGCTTGCCCGTGCTTTCTGTTGTGTCATTGGCAAGCGAGGAAAAATATTTTCAGATCGCTGACTTGCACGGTGCTTGTTTGGAGAGGGTTAAAATTGCTTAAAATATTCAAGCAAATCCCGCCGCATGCGAGATACGGTCGGTGATTCAACAGAAACCATTCTGTACCACGTGATTTCTTTTGAAGGTGTGACATAAATCGCCTTTAAAGAGACACAAAGTGCCGTTGCTAGAGACTCGCCGATGGAGCAGATTAGACTCCAAAATACCACCCGGATCTTGACTTTAAAACCAGTGAAAAATTTGAGACCTGCACCATGTCGTCCAGATTACTTCAATGCAGCCTTCACATTAGTAACCAACACTATCGTAAAATTGGCACTCATCAACATTGGCAAACATTAAAATATTAATGAAATATTCTGCACCCTAACATCATTATTGAAATAGTAGTGTGTGTTAACCCCTAAACTGTATATATCCGTCTCCCTCAACCAATGCGTTAAGTGCCGTGAAAGTCCACATATACGTTTTTTCTGAAATACGATCCTTTCTTTGCGATGTTATCAGTAAAACTATTTCGTGCAATGAAATGACTTTGACAGTGTTTGTGAAGGATGTACTTATTTCAGAGAGAGATGAGACTTGGATTTGCGGACCAAATCCTAAAAATTATTCACTCATACCTAAACTCGAGAGAGTTTAGAGTTAGAGTCGAAAACTGCCTCTCCAGCCTTCGTCCAGTAAAAAGTGGAATTCCTCAAGGAAGTTTGCTTGGACTAAGACTTTTTAACCTATATATTAACAACATTCCGAAGGCTGACAATGTCCATTTAGCTATGTATGCGGATGACACTGCTATCATTAGTCAACACACTTATAATTTCAAAATTATTGAAAAATTACAAAATTACATCACAAGACTTCAGCTCTGGCTCCTTGCTTGGAAAATCAAAGTTAATGCATCAAAAAGCGCAAGCCTCCTCTTTACGAAACAAAGGTGTAATGGAAACTTACCCAATATCTATATTTTTGACCAACCCGTCCCCTGGGTCACTGAATTTAAGTACCTAGGGTTCATTCTCGACGCAAAATTGAACTTCTCCCACATCCATGCTGCACTTCAAAAAGCGGCAGGAATGAGCCAAACGCTCAATTGCTTAATTTCTCGAAAGTGTAAGCTCCCAATCAGACACAAGGTTTTGCTCTATAAATTATTTCTCCGACCAATTTTGTTATATGCATCTCCCATCTGGGCTTCTGCTGCAGTAACTCACTTGAAAAAATTGCACGTTTTCAAAATAAACACCTTCGAAAAATTACTAATGCTCCTTGGTTTGTCAGAAACGAAATCTTGCACAAAGATCTCAAAAATTGATCAATTCTTGATTTCATTAAAAATCAGTCCAAAAAGTTTTTGACAGATTACTTCAAATTCTAACCAATCTATCGAGTCATCCCTGCCTATGATAACTCGGATTTAAGCTCTTAAAAAGACCTAGAGCTGCTCTTCACCACATATATGAGCATTTTCCAGTCCTTAAAAGACTTCGGATATCCTATAGTCTTTGGTAACTCTCTTTTCTTTAAAAAAAAAAAAATTTTTTTCTTTAAAAAAAAAACATTCTCTAATTTTATTTTTAACTTTTGTATATATTTTGTATATATATATATATATATATATATATATATATATATATATATATATATATATATATATATATATATATATATATATATATATATATATATATATATATATATATATATATATATATATATATATATATATATATATATATATATATATATATATATATATATATATATTTCATCTCCATTAAATTACTTCGACTTAAACCCACATTCTTTTGAATCGGTCTTGTGTGGTAGTTTAATTCCATGGCAATTATTCTCCTTTTCCACATCTTTTGTGGATCATCCTTTATTTTACTCATTTTCCAGCAGATGGCATCACATTATGGACACTTTCTGTGTCAACGCCTTCTCTTTTCTTTCGCTGTTCAGCGACACTCCCGTCATCACTACACGATTCAGCAGTGTTTGTCCTTTCCCTTTATTTAAACATCATGTACCACGAGCACCACGGCATTAATTGCTTTTATTTTCCATTTCATCTTTTTTATCTTCCAAATTCCGTGTCTACTTTCTGATTTCGTTCCGTTAAGGACGAATTAGAGAAGAGCACAGATTTCTACCACCTCCCTCCGGGATGGTGCCTCATTAGATATGTTCCATACTTGCCGATTGAATTATTTCTCGCTCTCTCACTGGTAGTATGTCCTCAGCTAATGGTGAGAAGCTTTCTTTTAGAACGGCTCTGAGCTGTTAATATTTTGATAATATCTTTTAAATTTTATGGAACTTTCAATTAATTCTTCTCTTTTTTCTTATTAATTATGATGAGAGGGTAATACTGTTTTCTGGTAAGGTACCTCGTATTTTGTAGCCGTGGGGCGTGGGTTATTTCAGAGAGAAATTTACTTAATAGTTATTTTTCTTTTTCCCCCAATATGCCGCGCCTATGTGAAAACCGGCAGCACTGGGGAGCGAATCGCGTAACTTTTAATCAGCAGTTAAGGCGTTTATTTTTTTAGAATTTATTTTTTAAATTTATTTTATAATATATATATATATATATATATATATATATATATATATATATATATATATATATCGTGTTCAAATGTTCAATCGTTAATAAAATACTTTTTATTCATTCACTCAAGTTCAAACACATTTTCTTAAACTTGTAGTGGTTGACACTTGTGATGTTAATACATTTTTTTTCAAATATTAATTCATTCATTCTATTTAATTAATGAATAAATAGTAACAAAAAGAATAATTCAACGCCCTATATAAAAAGAAAAATCGCTCGTTGTGTCCCTGTTGCGCAATGGATAGCACTTTGGACATCTAGTTCAAAGGTCGTGGGTTCGAATCCCACCAGGGATGGACCAATTTTTGATAATGTGATTCTTTCCTTACTATACTGCTTTATTGGAATAATTAAATTTAATTGATGAATAAATAGTAACAAACTAAAATAATAGTCCAACACTCTATATAGAAAGGAAAATCGCTTTCTGTTTTGCTATTTTATAAATATTATGATTCTGTCATATGTAAATACATATTTATATCAATTGTAATTATTTAATAAAAAGTAACTAAAATAAAACGTTTCTTTGTTGACCTAAGTAGTAATGGACTTAATTTTCTTTTTTTTATGTTACTTGTTGAGATTCAAAATGTTATTTTTTCCATCTTTATACAGTAAAAAGAATAATGTAACGTTTTAACCGAATTAGAAATCCACAAGTCATAAAAACTGTCTTTTTTTACTCTTCATGAAGTCACATACAGTAGAACGTCGTTTATCCGAATCAATTGGGACCGGACATCGTTCGAACACATGATTGTTCGGATAACCGAAAACCGAATGCGATCTATGCAGTTTATGAAACCGGACACTATACGAATATTGAAAATCATCAAATGCGGGAAACGTGCTTGAAGAAAAAAGCAAAACAGGTGCAAAATGTCGCAATTTTACTTTTATAGTGGAAAATAATCACTTATTTTTTGCTGTACGATTGCACACCTTCGTTTTTTCACTGTGCAGTCTCTGATTCTCTTGAGCAGCAGTAGTTGAATAGGACCGCACGCTGATTGTTGTTCGTACCACTCCATAGCTGTCTCTAACGCAGAAAACGCGTCAGCATTTTCCCTTTTCTTCGAGCCATCTTCTGAGACAAGTTTTGACGCAAAATTTAAAATAGTTTCTGGGCTTTTTTTTATGTCAGAAACTGCTGACTTTCCAACATTATAAAACTGTGCTGGAGACACTCCACTTTCTTCCTTCGCGAGACGGTTCAATATTTCAAGTTTTGTTTCCATGTTCAATACGTTGCACTTCCGTTTTGAATTCGAAGCCACAGCAGTTCACAACTCAACAAATGAGCGCGCATACACCCCTTTACTTGGAAACAAACTGACCTCATATTCCTCGCAGATATTTATCAAATTCCACAACTGAAATTCCCCAAATATCCCCGACCTTGGGTTCTCCCGTCAATTTTGGCCTCACGAGAAACAACTGTAAGCATTGCACTGTTGAAAACGTATTCATACACAGTACATGTAGTTGACTAAAAAAACTGGTTCAGATATTTGACGTTTCGGGTAATAAACGTTCGGATAAACGACGTTCTACGGTACTTCTGAAAATGAGGATGAAATCAATGTTTCACGTCCCTTCTCTTTCAGACGTTCACTGCCCGGCCATCAAATCTGTTGACCACAATCGAGTGATGGCGGTGGAAGGTAACAAAATGCACAGCAAAGCGCGCTTCGCGTGCATGGAAGGCTTCGAACTGGTGGGTCCGGAAGAGATTACTTGTCAAGCATCCGGACAGTGGTCAGATGATGCACCAAGATGTGAAGGTTTGAAATATTGCTTTATTATTTTTTTTCACCTGCATTTGTCTAATTGTAAGAAATTTCTGAGTAGCGAAAAATTTAGTAGATGGAGAAAAATAAAAAAAAGTCAAGATAAATTTTTCAGTGCACGGTTTTTTTTATATATAGAATATTGTTAAACTCTCTTTTGCTGTAATACATTTCCAAACAATTTTAAAAAGCAAAGAAAATCTGTTTTTATATTTAATGTTTCGAAAACGTATTGCTATGAATATATCTACGATTTGGGGAGGTTTAAACAGTAATTTATGAATGTTATTTAATATTAAATTGATTAAAATATAATATAATCAATCAAGTGAAAATCAACTACATACACAAAGAAATGTGTTATAACAGATTATTTATAATAGTGAAAAACGTACTCGTTGTAAACAAGCTTTATAACAGTTCCACTCAGTCAGATAAAGTTTAGACTACCCGCAAGTAGATTCTAATCCTGACTGATTGAGTTAACCTTCGTCTCAATGGAGTCAAATATACTCTTACGGTGCTTTTTTTGACGATTCCTTGGAGATATCGTATTTTTCGCAGCATTTATGGCCAAGAGTGATAATCTGGTAACCCTAGTCACGTCTTCTTTGAATGACATAGTACGGGGAAGCATACTTAGTCTGTAAAATTCAATTTTCCCACAAGGAGAGTATCGCTGTAGGGAAAACAACACACGTGGCATGTTTCATTATGTGAGGCATCATTCATATTTAGCTAGTAAAGGGGAGATTTAAAAAAAACTCTAAAGAGGAAAAATAATTTACCAATGAAATGTATCATAAATTATTCGAAAAGTTAAATAAAATTTAAAACAAATTATTAATACAGAAAAAAGTAAAATTACATTACAAAACTAAACTAAACTCAGTGGCGCAATAGTCCATGAGAGCCAAGGCCTATTGTACCCTCTCAGTTTACAAGACCTTGGGCAATGAGGTGTCTGAGTAGATATTCCGGTCTGGTGGTCAGTCTGACTTGAAACCTCCAGTGTTTAGTTCCCAAACAAGTTTGGTACTGATTTATCGACCCACTGAAGGGATGAAGATGGGCCAAGATGGGCCTTGCCCATCTTGGCGTTTGAACTCTGGACCTGTGGCATGTGGAAGAGCGACATTCTAAAGCTAACGATCATAATTATTTTTATTAAAATCATTCAAATGTATATAATACGAGTAAAGGTACACTTTTATTAAAAAAAATCATTACATGTCATAAGAAAATATGTAATGAAATATCATCGTTCTAATTAGTGGTGTACACATTCTTCTTTCATGAGAAGGGGTTCTTTAAAAAAAAACCACCGTAGACGAAAGCGCCGAGACGTAATCTCTAAGATAAAAATTTGATGGTCTATGAGAGAGGTTTGACCCCCTTTTGTGTACGCCATTGATTCGAATTGCATTCGACTTATATAATGTTCCTTTCTTGAAATAGTTCTCAAGTGTCCACCCCTGGTGTCTGAAAGCAAACATTTGATCATGAGTACAAGGAACAGGACATACGGAACCAGAGTCGTGTTCTCTTGCCCAACTGGATTCAAACTTGCTGGAGCACCTTATCTGAACTGCTTGAAAACAGCCAACTGGTCGGATTCTACGCCCACTTGCAATCGTAAGTTCTTCCTCTTTTCTTCAACAATCCTAGGCCGCTCCCGAAATCAAGGATCGTAATGTAAACAATGGCGTTCATTACATCACGTGACGTGTAGCGGAAGATAAGAGATTAAGGCACCAATTCGTTCTCATGGTTGCGCCTTCGAATTTGTGAGTTTTTCAAAAGGCATCGATTAACAGTAGAGTAACAGGTTTTGATATATACACTGGTGTGCAAAAATTAAGGACGAGACGGTTTTTTCAATATAACTTTGTACAAAAGCTTTCCAAATCAACACATTTAATACCGCAAGATCCCCAATACGTAAGGACATGTGTAATGTAAGCAACACTTACTAAAAGAGAAATCAGAGGGATAAAAAGAAGCTTGATTGAAAAAAGTAGCATGGAGCGCAATGCGACTGAAGGCCGAAACATCCCTGTGATGGGTGTCCAGCAAGAAACATCCGGTCTTTAGTAGGGGATATGATCTCCCCTGACTGCTAGGCAGGTTTCACAGCGTCTGCCCATGCTGAGAATGAGGGTGTCAATGAGTTGTTGAGGCATTGCTGCCCATTCGTCTTGCAGCGCCAATCGAAGCTCCCGAATCGTTACTGGTGGTAAGGTACGAGCTGCCAAGCGTCTGCCTAGAAAATCCCATACATGCTCGATGGGATTGAGATCCGGAGATCGTGCCGGCCAATCCATACGTTCAATATCCTCACTCTCTAAAGAGCTGTTCGGCAGCTACTGTGCGATGACATGGTGCATTGTCGTCCATGAAAGGAACTGCAGACCCATAGCGCATCTAAAAAGACGCACATATGGAAGAAGAATATCTCGTTACAATAACGGGTCCCGTTGACTGAACCTGCGTCGAAGATGTGAAGGTCTGTACGATTACCAAACATGATGCCTCTCCAAACGAGAACACCGCGACTCCATACCTGTCCCTTTCAATGATATTCGAGGGATGATTGCGGCTTCCCCGCTCTCTCCAGATGAGAATCGCTACTCAAACTGAATCTGCTCTCATCTGTAAAGAGTACTCGTCCCCATTCATTGTCTCTCAATTCCGGTGTTCCCGGCACCACAGAGAACCTTCTCCGATGGGCAGGCGTTAAAGGTACACACCGTACAGGGCGTCGTGCAAACAGACCACCACCGTGCAGTCTTCTGGCCACGGTAAAACGCGATATCGGTCGTCCAGTCGCCTGTGTCGTGTGTGTCTAGCGATTTCTCCGCTGTCTGCCGCCTGTTTCTTCTGGCCTGTAAGACAATGTACCGGTCATCTGCGGGTGTGGTTCCTCGTGGACGACCATTACTGAACCTCCGGATAGCTGTTCCTGTAGTTTGAAATTGTCTCCAAAGTCGTGAAACGATGCTGTGAGCAATTCCGAACTTTGCAACCACACTTGTCACACTGCGGTTTTCCTCCAACTTCCCAATGATTTGACCTCGGGTAAAAGCATCCAGATGTCGTCTAACAGATTGATTATTCGCCATTTCTCGCTGAGGCAGCAACTCGGTGTGATTTTAACTGCTATACGGCGTGCAATCTCTTTGCCAGAAATACTGATCTTACACCGACAACATGCTTTATACTACTCAGACACTCCCCCATTACGTCTACCTGCATATCTGCGCATGTGCTACCGTCCATCACCTTACTTAATCTCCTGATTGGTTTTTCTGTCCTCTCTGCCTCTTCGTTCAGCTGATATACTAATTTTTCGACTTCGTCCTTAATTTTTGCACACCACTGTATATAAGGCGCACATTCCCTTGGGGGCTCGAAATAAAAAATTTAAAAATGAATAAATTTAATTCAAAATATGTTACACTCATAAGTGATAATGCATTTCTCCAAAAGTTGAAAGCCACAGC